ATTTTGGTCACTATAATCGTGATAAGAAATTTTCATACCGTTACATCCCCATTTAAAACACAATCAAATTTAATATGCTCCCTTATTCTTTTATATTTTAATATGTACAAGTCAGAATAAGCATGTTGTTTGAATTTTTACATACATAGTGTTACACTGAATGACAGCAGAACATTATTTCAACCAAATGTTGACATTTTATTCTCCAAAAACTTATTTGAAACCTTAAAAGTAGACACTTTACTTACATTTAATGTGCTTTCTATGGACATAAAATCACTTTTGTAAATTTCTTTTGATGTGGACATCTTAATGTCTTTGACCCACATGTAATCACCCACAGCACAAAAAACCAATGAGAACAAAGAACAATAATGATGAGTCATAGCAATAGAGCATAGGCGCCAAAGCTGTTGTGGATGCACTTACCCGGATGTAACTGGCACAGATTTGAAAATTACCATTGTTTGGAAAATAAACAATTGGATAATTTGATTATGTCAGCTTTATGTAACACCTAAAACTGACGCGGGAATTTACAGTAGGGCTGAACGAATGAAAAAATGCGATTACACTCAGTCACGTGACACGCGAGAGTAAAGAGGTGTGTTCGACTTGAAGATCGATCGGTGTATGACATCAAAGTACGGTGAGAGTAGGGCTGGACAATAATTCAATATCAATATGTATCGCAATATAATTCTTTTCAATAACGGTGCTATGATTTTTAAACATTTCCAATATTTCGATATACATTACCAGTGTTTCCCAAACATTGATTTATTTGTGGCGTTTAACTTCGTTGAATAAACATGAGCACTGCACGTTTCAAAATCAAAACGTGACACGGGTGTTTTATATGAATGAATCTCTGAAGGGAACCGACTGTCTTCAGAAACGTTTTGATGACGTTTTAATTTTATCTGATAAAGTAGCATTCGTGAGCGGGACTGCTTTGATTACAGCCGTTACCGGAGAAACCGTTAGTTCTACCGCTCTCAATGCACCTCCTGCTGGCAGACAATCAGTTTTTCAATTTTCAATAAGCCTGTCTCCAGCAACATGTTTTTGTTGTTGCTCTTTTTTTTCTGCAGCAACTCAGAGCACTTTTCATATTCTTTATCCTGGCTGAAGCACATTTGTTTCAATCTATAACAATAATCAGCCGCCCTACATTACCAGTCAAAGGTTTTTGAACAGTAAGATTTTTCATGTTTTTTTTAAAGAAGTCTCTTCTGCTCACCAAGCCTGCATTTATTTGATCCAAAATACAGCAAAAACAGTAAAATTTTGAAATATTTTTACTATTTAAAATAACTGCTATCTATTTGAATATATTTTAAAATGTAATTTATTTCTGTGATCAAAGCTGTATTTTCAGCATCATTACTCCAGTCTTCAGTGTCACATGATCTTCAGAAATCATTCTAATATGCTGATTTGCTGTTTATCAATATACAGTTGAGTATTTTTTTTCAGGATTCTTTGATGAACAGAAAGATCCAAAGATCAGCATTTATCTGAAATGCAAAGCTTTTGTAACATTATACTCTATACCATTCAAAAGCTTGGAATCAGTATGATTTCTTTTTCTTTTTTTTTTGGAAAGAAATTATAGAAATTAATATTTTTATTTAGCAAGGATGCTTTAAATTGATCAAAAGTGATGATAAAGACATTTATAATGTTACAAAAGATTTCTATTTCAGGTAAATGCTGTTCTTCTGAACTTTCTATCCAACAAAGAAACCTGAAAAAAATTCTACTCCGCTGTTTTCAACATAATAATAAATTATTTTTTAGCAGCAGATCAGAATATTAGAATGATTTCTGAAGGATCATGTGACTGAAGTAATGATGCTAAAAATATAGCTTTGAAATCACAGGAATAAATTGCATTTTAAAATATTTCCAAATAGAAAATAGTTATTTAAATAGTAAAATTATTTCAAAATGTTATTGTTTTTGCTGTATTTTGGATCAAATAAATGCAGGCTTGGTGAGCAGAAGAGAATTCTTTAAAAACAAAAATCTTACTGTTCAAAAAATTTTGACTGGTATGTTAGAAGATATTAATAATTAATAAGGTGTGTCTGAGATGTTTATTTGACAGTGATTTCACATTTCTTGTTTGTATGAAGGCTAAATACAAATAAAAGGTGAACATTAAAAAAAAAAACAGCACAAATAAATTAAAGTATTATATGGTTTTATATGAGGTGTCAGACTTGACAAATTCATTTTTCATAAGTTTGTATGCACAGACATCTGTTGTGGGCGTTCTTGGCAGTTTTTACAAGGCTTTTTTTAAATAGTGTTCATATCGATATCGGAATTATATCGTATCGACCAAAATTAAGAAATATATTGTGATATAACTTTTGGCCATATCGTCATGCCCTAGGTGAGAGAAAGCATAAGGAGACGTCCGCGCTCTCTTATAGCTCTCGCAGTACTTTGATGACACACACCCATCGGTCTAAGCAGCGCTGCTTCAAGTCGAGCACGGGCCATCAGCAGAAAAAGAAAAGAAATAAAACAGTAAACAGTCAAAGGACGTAACTTAGAATGGGAGATGGATCGGTTTGTGAAAGTGAAGAGAAAAGCCATAGATGAAGTCGCACAGACCCAGGCAGGTGCTGGTCATTCAAAAGCTAAATGCAGAAAATATGACGAGGCATAACTTGCTCTCGGCTTCACTTACCGTGTCTATACCAGAAGCTACAGTTGTCGCGTCGCGCCGCAACAGCTCTACACTGGATGCGATAAAGCGACCGCTGCAAACTTTGTGTCAGTACGTCATAAATAGAACGAGGCATCAATTTAATGTCGGGTTTTGTCGTGTCGCGCCGCATCCAGTGTACACAGCGTCACTGATTATAATGGTTCTACTGTATTTTGCCGCTCGCGTCTGGTGTAGACAATGTGTTTATAATGTCATTGGTGAGGAGGAAAGCCTGTGTGTGTCCTGTTAGCGGACAGCATGAAACCCACAAAAAATAAATAACAGAGAGAGAATAATAATAATAATAACAGTTATTCTCTCTATGCTATTTTTCAATGTTTCAAGTGATGCAGGTATTTTTCCCTGTAGGTTTTTTTAATTAACAAAGTAGTCTGAGGTGGGATGGGGATTCGGGAAAGAGGGGGGCAGATATTTTTATAGGTTTAAAGGGGGGCGCGACCAAAAAAGTTTGAGAACCACTGGTCTAAAGTTAACAGACAGTGTTTAGTGCAGTCCATATGTTTATTACAGTGACTTTGAATTACCTAAAGTAGTGTGGTAAAGCAACATATTTGTTGTTATATTTCTGCAATCTACTTTAGTTTGTGCGATTTGTTACTGACTTTCATATTAATGTTTACACCAGGCTTATTTGTCAGTGCTTTATGTTGTCATAATTATTACATGCTTACAAGGTTGGAAGTTCAACAAATCAGTCAATCTACTACTGTGATTGTAGATGTTAAATAAAAATGTCATTCATATCAATTCATGCATCACCTGATTTCATCGTAACATATAGGCCTGGCCTACAGAAAAGAACATTTATGTTTAATTTATCTAATATTGTGTTGGTCATACTATACAATGATTTATAGCTTGTCTTTGTTGAATAATACAGAACATAAAGAGCTTTAAAAAATAATTGCATATTAAAATCGCAATATTGGTTTAAAAAAAAAAAATCGCAATTAGATTATTTTCCAAAATCGTTCAGCCCTAATTTACAGTAATAATAATTTGTTGGTTCATGAACCCACTCTCTCAAATGGCTTGGGTATGCAAAGTATTCACAGCTTTTATGACAGAATGCCCCTGCTACACAGTAATAGTACACTAATTTGCTACATAGCATATATCAGTTTATATGACAATACTGTGTGTATGTGGGCAAAATAGGATATACTTAGACAGCCAACTTTATATATAGATCCATGTGATAATTACGTTTACATTTTGCTACAATATAAACAATCATGCAGTTGAGATTTGCTATATGCATTGCCTTATGTAAAATGTATGCATGTGGGTAAAGTTGGAGAGTGCCATGCGATAATAAAGCTTAAAATAACCCTCCATCATAAAAAGTGAAATCCACTGCTACAAGCACACAGCACAAAACAAGCGGCTGGCTGTGCACTGTAGAGGTCTTATTCATTTGTTGATTTATTTGTACAGTCAATTACAAGCCAACTTCGTCATCATAGTAACATAGTTTTTTTTTTTATTATTATTATTTGTGCCATGAGGTTTTCATCAGCTGATTTCAATCACACTTATAACCACTTGTCAGAAATGAACCAGGGTTTGAAGAAAAAAATCCTACCAGCAACAAAAGTGCCATCAAATTCCAAAGCTTCAGAGGCTAATAATAATAATAATAATAAAATTCACATGCTTTACATGTAATATCTGATAATATCTCACATATATAATACGTTACGAGTGGATGTTCATTCAATTTACAGTAACTAAATATTGGACACAAAATTATGTATATATTTAGAATAAGGCCTTCAAGTAAAAAGTTAATTTCTGACACAGATAACCAGCAAACATTGGCTTGTTTTATGCACTGATGGGGGTGAATTGATATAGGCTAGGCCTGTATTTACGGTTTATAAAAATAAAAACAACCAATATTACTCCAGAGCAATTAAATGCCAGGACTGTTGTTGTCTTTGGAAAGAGTGGCTACTGCAGGAATTAATGTGATTGGTGTCAAAACCAATTTAACTAAGTTACCAACGTAATCAGCATCTGTGACATTATAGGCACATTATAACGTTCAAATCCAACACCTGTGATACTCAAAATGGTACATAGACTGGCAAGTCGTTAGGTCTGGAGACACAGACATTAACAGGTCTTTTTCCTAGAGCAGGCAGCAGTACATGCAAACTGACTGGCCCTCAGTGCAGCAGTTACAAAACACGTCCAGCCCGGCAGATAACGCTAGCCTGCTAGTTAGTCTGACAAATGTGATGTAACTTACATTTCTTAAGTCGAAATTCTCCTTCCAGTAGACGCCACGTTCCAGGCGGCCGTCAAGTGTGCCTTTCTGACGAGAACCCACTCGCTAAACATCTAAGTATTTGGACCGTTGGTGATATTAGCTCGTTTCGACTAGCGCAGCTAAAGGTAAACCCAGCTAGCTGGCTAGCTAATGCGGTTAAATTCACACGGTCAGGTCTGCCCTCAACGGCTCTCGTCTGGGATTACGAGCTGGAACGAACATATTTGACATGCTGTTTCACTTCGGCTCAGCGACAAAATAAGTGCGACCTGACTGGTGGTTGTCTGAGTTACATTTCGAGCCGTGTTAGCGTTTCCAGCGACATGTTAGAGACAGGTGATGTGAACTACTCACTCAGTGCCACTGATGGCCGCGCGCTTGCTTTGGGTTCTGTGTGGTGGGAGGAGCCATCGCCTCTGTGATTGACATCATTGGCCGAGAGGCTGAGAATTAAACTCATTTATTTTGGGTCATATACTGTATATACACTTACTTACTTATGTATGTATGTATGTATGTGTTTGTTTGTTTGTCTGTGTATATATCGATTTGTATCTTGGTTAGTAATATTTAAATTAAGTCTCAAATCAAAGTCCCCCTACCCTTGTGAAACAGAAGTACACTTTAGCATACACTTAAAAGAGTAAGTCTGCCTGCTTATTATGAAAATAATATACTTTAGAAGAATATACTTAAGTGTGATGTTATCAGTCACTTAATTGCATGTTACTGCAGTTAAATGAAATAATGTATTGTCGTTTAAATTTATATGAAATGCCGTTAGCTAAAGAGTGCTTTATTGACCCATTTAGGATTTAAATACATTTAATTTCATTATTTTATTATCTTTGAAATATGGTTAAAGTATACAACTGAATATACTGACCAGCATTTATGGTAAACTAAAATACACGTGAATGTCTTTTATTATTATTATTTTTTTAAGCTTGTATGAGTTACAATTTAGCAAAAAGGTTAAAAGTATAATCAAGTATTTTACACATGCTTTAGGATGTTAGTCAACAGATCAAAATAAGTGCACTTATTTAAATCATGACAAAAGATTATCAAAGCATAATAATTTAAAATGTTCTTTAAAATAAAACTTTTTTTACATTTGTAGACTGATAATTAAGTTATTGGTTACACTTTATTCTGTAGATGAACATGTTGTTACTTTATGAATTTTAAAACTCAAGAGTTTACTTATAGCTGCAAAGTTGATCTTTTAGATAACTATTGACTTGTGGATTGCTTCACATTTCAACATCCTGCAGCTCTTCTCCGGCCCCTCCTGCAGATAATCTTTGCACCTCTTCTGTGAGCTTGTCAATTACCTCACAGATATCTTCTTCAATTATTGATTAGTATTGGTAATAGAATCTGGTTCCCACGGGTAATCTTACCTGGAAGATAGCTGGATACCTCTGTGACAACTTTAGAATGGGTTAATCAGCATTTACATGATTCATTTCTGATACATTTTTAAAAAATGGATCACATTCAAACTTTTCAGGTTCAAGACTATAGCTATCCATCTGCATACTGTCAGAAATATAAGCAAATTTCAACTCAAGTTCTTTGACGCAAGGAGTTCAAGTTGTTGCAAGGAGAATGGAGATTTCAAGATATAAACCATTTGAAGCAGACTAAAGCCACTGCCTCAGACTAATGCAACAGTATGTAACATTCCAACTTTCAAGGTTGCTGGGAAATCTAAAATATTGCTCCCTCCTTGCATTTATACCCCAGATTTCTGAGGCTGCAGACCACAATGGAGTTTTAAAAAAAAAATTTTAACTCAAAGTTAAACAAAAAAAATAATAATTAAATTTGCTGAGTTGTCTAGATTATCGTCTAGACGTATAGAGTTGTTTGGAGATTTTGTTTTTCTGCCATAGTGTTGTGAACTGATAGCTTGTGTACTTGTGTAATAAATATCATTTGTGAAGTACTGCAAGAAAATGCTAAAATAATAAAACTGTGTTACATAGTGGCATAACAGATATTGTAATAAAAGTACATAAAAGAATATGCAAAATTCTACGTCTGTCAACATATATTTTTATATATCATAAGAGCAAAGAGGCACAATGATAACCAACAATCTTGGTTTAATAAGTTAAAAAGGCTTTTTTATTTTAATATTTTGAGAAATGCAATATCCTGTAAAGACTGAAGATGTGACAAACAGCTTGTCTCATAAACATAGTCAAATCAGTTCTTCACAAGTTAGATTTACATTTGAAAAAACAGTTTGTGTATTTTTATTACAGTAGCTAAACCTGTTTTTTGATACACTTTCTGTCGACTTGAAGTTAAGTGACTTCTTCATGTCATGATAAAGATGTGTTGTGTGCTGGGTAATACCTCATTAGTGCACATTGCTCTTTGATGACATCACTGATTAGATCATAGCAGGACCAGACTGATTAGATTATTGGAGAGCCAGCTGATGAACTCCACAGTGATCACACAAATTATCTAATCATGAGTTTATATATATAGGAGGATAAGGATAGGCATGTTGTAAGATGGGCCTGACCCATCAACTTAACTACAGTAAACAGCAGGCCAAACCTGCACCTAGTGCTGAAGAAGCATCGCTATGGAGACTGCAGAGTGGTTTTTATCACCATGGAGACTAGGATTGTCTGAAAATTGCAAGCTTGTAATTTAGAAATAGCCTAGTGGCTACTGTGAGCCTCTGACGACCCTTCCGGCCACACTTGTATCTGTTTGTGAACTGGTTTGGTGACTTTAACGAGTGGTGACTTTAACGAGAAAACCACCATCACTAAAGTTGCTGGTTTAGTCTTTAATTGTGACCAAGTATACCATCTGCTTTTAAGGAAATAAATGTAACCTCAAAGATATGAGCTAAGTTACCGTTACTGTTTTAGTTGGATAACTTAAAAGAATAGAACACCTAAAGATTACAATTCTTGTATTCCACAGAAGAAAGAAATTCATACTGGTTTGGAAAACACAAGGTTTGGTAAATGATGACATAGATTAAAATATGAACAAAAGAGCTGATTTAATTGTATACAATAAAAATGTATATATTATTTATTCAACTTCTAACATTTTATAACTTTTGCTCATTGCATTTTGTATATGTGACAGGATAACACATCAAGACGTCATCTTAATTATTTTGAAAAATATCTGACCACTCACACGCAAATAAAGAATGACTCTAATGAATGAATGAATAATGCTAAAGGAATCAGCCTGTTGTCACATTTGTTCTTCTAAAGAATCATTGTGAATTGGCGATTTAAGATTTCTCTGAAAAAATGCATTTACATGTCATGACCTGAAGATCAAGAGGGGTAGATTATAGGAAATTATCACGGAGTACCAGTAAAATGTTAAGTAGCAGATTCGGCAGGTGATTTGAGCACTTATACACATCATGTCAAAGGTAAGTGCACTTTTTGACAATTATTGTATAGAACTTGGATATATGGTAAATACTCAAATGTATGTGCAGTTTAACCTCTGACTATAAGCTTAATTATGTTAATTATGGCAGAAGTAATGCTTTTACTGAGAGGTAATTGACCAGCAGGGTGACAAAATACAAAAATAAACAATTGCCGCAAATATCAGAGAAAAAACAACAACATTTATTAATATTTACTTTTTTTATGAATATAATATTATTATTGTCATTATCATTGTTGTTGTTGTTGTTTTATATTTCAAAAATGTGAATATTTCAAATTTCTAATGTGAAAAAACAGCCCAAAGCACCCCTAAAAAATGTATGTTGGTGGTTTTTAATGCCTTGAGGGTGGATTTGTCTGTTACAAACAGATTTTTGATTTACAAGATGTTGTGAAGCAAACTGATGGACTGGAGTTGTGTGGATTACTTGTGGATTATTGTAACATTTTTATCAGCTGTCTGGACTCTGATTCTGATTCTGACGGCACCCATTCACTGCAGAGCATCCATTGGTGAGCAAGTGATGTAATGCTAAATTTTTCCAAATCTGTTCCGATGATGAAACAAACTCATAGGATGAGTAAAATATTTCAGCAAATTTTCATTATTTGGTGAACTATTCCTTTAATGTTATTAATGGATAAAGGCCTCCTGAAGCGAATCGATGCGTTTTTGTAAGAAAAATATCCATATTTAAACTTTATAAACAGCAATCTCTAGCTTCCACTAACTATGAAATGTAGCATTTGATAACAGGTGGTCCTTGGGTTGTGGCTTGTGAGTTGTGAGAGTCTGGACTGGAAAAGATGGGAAACTTCTTAGTGGTTAAAGATCGATTATATATTGTAGGCTGCTTGCTGACTGCAACAAACACAAAATCTGACTGTCACAAAAAGTGTTTAACACACTCATGACCTCTCCAGGTGTATCCAGCTACAAAGTTTTTTATTTTACAAGTCTTGCCAACTACATCAGGTTCGATATGTGTGGGGAGGGAAAAAATTATTAAACTAAATTATGCTATCAATTAGATCAACATATCCTTCTTGCTTTGTTTGTATCCTGAAGGAATGAGGTCATGTCTGTCTGGACAGCCATTTCTATTACATTTACAGACCACAAAACCAATTAAGGAACACATTTTTCTGGACCCATATGCAAATGCAAAGCATGCCACATTGTCACTCTCTGTAATTCTCAGTCATACTCTCATTAAACAGCTGTCTCAAATTTTTCCAAATCTGTTCCGATGATGAAACAAACTCATAGGATGAGTAAAATATTTCAGCAAATTTTCATTATTTGGTGAACTATTCCTTTAATGTTATTAATGGATAAAGGCCTCCTGAAGCGAATCGATGCGTTTTTGTAAGAAAAATATCCATATTTAAACTTTATAAACAGCAATCTCTAGCTTCCACTAACTATGAAATGTAGCATTTGATAACAGGTGGTCCTTGGGTTGTGGCTTGTGAGTTGTGAGAGTCTGGACTGGAAAAGATGGGAAACTTCTTAGTGGTTAAAGATCGGACTCCAGGTGTATCCAGCTACAAAGTTTTTTATTTTACAAGTCTTGCCAACTACATCAGGTTCGATATGTGTGGGGAGGGAAAAAATTATTAAACTAAATTATGCTATCAATTAGATCAACATATCCTTCTTGCTTTATTTGTATCCTGAAGGAATGAGGTCATGTCTGTCTGGACAGCCATTTCTATTACATTTACAGACCACAAAACCAATTAAGGAACACATTTTTCTGGACCCATATGCAAATGCAAAGCATGCCACATTGTCACTCTCTGTAATTCTCAGTCATACTCTCATTAAACAGCTGTCTGTCTGAGGCCTATTTTTCTCTCACTGTCATTGAGGAATTTTAAGACCATTTTTGATCTGTGGCAAACAGCACAGGATAAGAGCCATGTGGGGGAAAGATAGTGGGAACCAC